CTTCCAAGTGTAGATCCAACGAACAATTGATCGTTTTCGTAAGCTGAAGATCTATTGTTAATAGTCTAGGTGACTTGGTCATTGTTAATGAAGTAAGACTTCCCTATTTTTGTCAACTGCAATGAATCCATTATCGATGCGACTTAACACAAAGTTTCGACTTTCATTTATCCTACTATGAAGTAGACGAGGCAGTAATAAAAACTTTTCGTAATTTTAGGTGTAGTTTCACCTAAGCTGAATTCCATGGTTATTTGTGTTTTCCAGAATTTGCGCTGACTGCTTAATTGCTGATGGCATTTATAGGATTGAGGTATGGGTGAGAAAAGAAGGTAGAGGGTTCAGATTGATGAAGTAGATAACAAGTGAGCAACTGGAATGGAAAGTCGTAGGTTTGAAACCCAAATGGGGTTTCGAGTTTCATTACCATTTGCCATCGCATTGATACCACAAATCGCTCCTTCGAGGATCTGTAGAGATCAATGACTCACGGCTCATAAGTGGATTTTTCATAGAATCAAAAAGGTATTGCTTAAGCACAAACGAGTCTTGGATGGCGTTTGTAAAATATATCTCTTCATTCTACCCTACTAGACCACCATGATGACTGGCTCGTATATCGTCTTCTACAACAGAATTCGTAAAATCTTCGCTAAATTTGCCATAAAAATACATAGCAATGTAAAGTATGCTACTAAATGCAAACTATAATTATTTTTCGAGCTGGACCAATTTATGGGTGGCACAAGATTCGTTTATAATACAGTTATGGCATAGAATAATGAGATGAAGTATAGTATAAAAAGACAAACAGCAATTTTGCATAACTTTTCAGTTGTCTGATATTTCTCTCTAAATTTCAGAATATTTGCAACTCTAAAAAGATGAAATTTCAAACTTGATTCTTCATACTTCGTCACTGGATTTTGCAAACTGAAGAATAAATCAAGTAGTGCTAAACCGAGTGGGCGAAAAATTCGACTTTTTGACAATTTGATATTGAGATATAGTGCTCCGAAATTCAAGTACTTTTACTGCTTTTTTCACAGTGTTATGATGTGACTTATATACCTAAAAAAATTGAGTGGTGAGCAAAAACACGGCCTCAATTGGGAATTGAACCCGCTTTTTATCCTATCCGGGGATGCGTGCTATATCACTACACCACCGATGCACATTTACCGACCATTCATTTTGCAACATCTTTTTGTTAGAAAAATATTTAAAGCCTAAGCGGTCTCATCCTCTCGTCAGTAGTCCGCACCCCCACATTTTTTATTTTAAATTATTTTGAATGTTTATTGCGAGGTTTGATAAACAGTCGATGCCATGGATCAATCTCTATGTTCGCTATCAGCCACTAACCTTTAACAAGTTTGGTCTAGTATGTGATAAAGATGTTTAATACAGCTTCAGAAGACATTGTTAGAAACCACCGTCCGAAAAACTCTTATCTGATTCTTATTATCTAATTCTTTCTAATTCGGAACGGCGATTTTCAGCAGACGTAAAGAAACCACATGGACTGGAGAACAATTGTTTCCACATTAGTGGTCAAATGCCGGCAAAAGCTTTTTCCCGGACAGGTTATTATAGTAGGCCGAATAGGACCGTGTGGCACCAGAAAAATCATCTTACCTTTAGCGGTATCGAAACCGAGGGCGACATCTGTCATCACGCCTTCTCTGTCCGGAACGATAATCGACCTCACTGTCGCACCCAAGTTCAGCAGCTCGAGACGCATTGCATTGCCTTAACGTAGTAAATTACAATATTGTACTATGCAAGCCAAAAATTTTTGAACGGGAAGATTTTGACAACTTTTTTGAGATGTACACGCTTTCATTTAGTGCCTAATTTGATCTTTAACGTTAGGGTACAATTTAAAGTTAACACTGATTATACTAAATATATTGTAGATATACATTACCAAGACTGCCGTTGCCATATGCTTAAAATGGTTATATTATCCGGAAAAATTGGAATACCTCCAAGATAAACTTTTGAGCACTTTAATGGTTGTAAGAATAGTTAGGGATAAGATATAGAGCATCACTGTGCCAACACATGTATCACACTCAACTAAGCTGCGACTCGACTTCTTCTCTGCACTGGAACTTTGGTCTCAGAGTGAAATTGTTGCGTAAGCAACAAGGAGCGTTGCACTCCTTAATGGCCCACATCAATCTAACCATAAAAAACCAACTCGAATTGCTAAACTCGGAGTTGTTGAACTGCTCACTTCTGAGTCATATTGAACGTAGAGCAGGTGATAGGTACTCTATCGGCTCGGTTGACTTGTAGCGTTGCGCTTGTGCTTCTAATTCTGCACCATTTAATCTTTAATGGAATCCTGTCCCTAAACTAATGAGGTTTCCGCGAACAGTGAATCGTTACCATAGCGCTTCCAAACCACACTGATTCTATCATATTGATAATTCAGCACTCTTGATGCTTTTTCCTTGTATCACTTTCTTGTGAGAATATAGAAAAACGTAAATGTAGTAGAAGAGTCCACCACGATAACTGATCTTGACTATTAGACGACTCTCTTCATTCTGACAGCACGACATGCACTCTTAAGCCCTTCATAGCTAAAAGGGATATGTTTCACTGCGGGTGAATGAACGGCTACCATTGCCACCAAGATGTATTGGTCAGGAGGCACGCCATGATCATCTTTTATGTTGAAGAATGTTGAGAGATACTCTGAAGATTGCGAGCAAACAGCATCTAAGAGCATTGCGAAATTTTAGTGGTGCTCCACCAAAATATCGACTGGATTGAAAGCGAAGACGAAGATCGCAACGAGGAGGAGCAACTGTGTACGCCGACTCAAATCATCCAGTTCGAGGAAGAGTAAGACCTCGAAAAGTTAGCATAGATCTATTTTTATCAACTTCGTGCCAATCACTTGATCAAGGAATGACATAAGATCGATTGAGATAATAAGATTAGGATAAAATGAAAATGCTAAAGTTGAAGAGAAGTCGTATGAAATCACTCTTGGTGCACGTTGATTCCTTTTAAGACCACTTCGGTGGCTATGTAAGTGACATGCCTTTGACGATTTTACAAAATGAAAAAATGTTTAGATAGAGCTGCTGGCGGAATCCAGAGAATTTGTGAGCATTGTAGAAGAAGTGATGATTCACAATTTATACATGTAATGATGATTCAGATGCAGGTTTCTGACTCAAGCGATGCACAAATTCATATCTGCCTCGACGAACAAGTCCTATACACGTATCTGTATGTGAATATGGATGCTCATACGCAGAAGAAACGTGTCATTTCAGCCCAGAGAAGATCAAATACTCCTAAATAGAGGTGAGCCTTACTCTGTGTACCTGCAGCTTTTGGTCACCAACTAGTCATCAGTTGATGACGTTTAATGTAGCCTTTTAACTAACCGACTTAATATTCCTCATCGTGGAAGGTGGAAGCCACAGCTTTAACGACATCTTTCCAAAACACTGACCATCTTAATCTCAAAATAGCAACATAGAATGAACTTTTCTTTTTCTGCGAACATTTTAACCTCAAATCGTTGACTATCGCTGGTCTATTGCACTTGCTTTCGGGTGAGTTCGATACAGTTTTGCGTCTTGAATTACAGATTTGGAAAATATTCAGAAGAAGAGCACTGCGTAACTTTGATACAACTCTCACTATAAGCCATCGAAAGAACATATATATAGTGAAAGGTGTCGCATAATGTTTCGATCTTTGATAGATGCTTGAAGGCAAATAAGGAGGGACTTGGAATACAAATCAAAAAACGATCGATATTCCAGAAAGTCCTATAAAACTGCATCAACATCGAGTTTTTGTAAGCAAGGAGGGTTCAGCACTATTGTTGCCCTCGATCAAAAGTTACACTACATGTGCAAAAGATGGTTATATATGAACTACAGCATCTCAGTAGCATAGCTCTACCGTACGCAAGAAGAATAAGAGAGCACAACAAGTACAAAAGTGTTCATGTTTACCGTTGGTTACTCGAATCAACACAACTCTCCTTTCGTCTCGTGTTTCACCAAATGATTCGATAGTCACTGATCGCATGTCTACAAGAAAATGACTCCGTTTATTTCGTTCGATAGTCTTGTAAAGTAGCTTATGAGACCGCAAAAGTAATAAGACAGAGGTCAGAAGAAAAAAGGAAACGTGATTTCTCAATTAATGAAACACGACAGGTGAAGACTAATATTCTGAATTATTCAGCATGACAATCATTGCATTGTTCGACGGAGTAAAAAATTCCACTCATAAATTTTTCGAGTAATTTCAAAACATTAATACTTGTCACGAATGAATGAAAATTGGACAGCAAACACATGAGCATGCGTAGACAGCCATGGGAGAATTTTTAGATTTAGCCAATTAACGGAAAAACTGTCACTCGTTTTTTGTCAATGTAAATAATGCAAATGCTGCTATTATTGAGAAAAAGTACATATGCACGTGTTGATGGGTTTGCTAAAAGAGTGGAAAAGCATCGTTTACAACAAATAATTGCGATAAAAATAATAGATTGAACAGAATACATAACTCTGTTGAGCTTTTGTTGACGCCCTTGAGAGAATCATTTTTCACTGTGCAATGAAACCGCGAGGGCGTGTAGCATTGCCATTAGAGGCATTGGAATACAAACGGAGGACGGTGTTTTGTTCGAATCGCGTCTGGCAGAATCAGGCTTCTTTACCCGAACCTCTGGCGTTGGAAAGTTGATATTAGTTGCCTAGGAAGATAACTTCACGATTTGATGCATTAAGGGGCTAATGCGAGTTCTGTGTGGGCAGATATGCATTCAGCCATTTATAATGAAGTTCAGTGAAATCAAATATTTACGTATCCTTAAGGATTGATCAACTTTGAGAGGAGTACCCTTTACTCTCCAACAACAACTATTAATTTCTAATGTTTTCGACTGTATTTTTCGCTGTGGTGTGATGGCCCCAGTAGGCCTAAGAGAAACGAGTGGTTAGAAAGAACACCACCTCAGACGGGAGTCGAACGAGTGTTTCATCCTTAACGGAGACGCGTGCTACCATTAAACCACTGAGGTGCATTTGTGCCACCACTCGTTCTTCAACGTAATGCACCTCGGTGGTGTAGTGGTAACACGCGCCCCTAGAAGAGAAACGGGTTCGACCCCTTCCTGAGGTCATATTTCTGCTCATCGTTCAATTCTCCTAGGTGTATTGGAAACATCGTACCATTGCGAAGAATGCAGTCAAAAGCATTAGAAATTATAAGCATTACATATCAAAATGACTGTCAGCTCAACTAGGCTTATAGAGCAAAATCGCATACCCGACCAAACCTTTTAGAGGTGGTAGCTGATAGCTTACATGGAGATATTGAAGAATGAGTGCTGGTGCAAAAAATAATAGCTGAAAAGACTATTCCAGAGAGGTTGTAAGATGATAAAGTTTGTGGAATGCTCCGAAGCAAGCGACTTACTGGATTTGTGATGGAAATGCATAACCCTAAGGCACAGAAGAGTCTAAGACAAGTGCTTCGGCTACGCATAGAAACAACAGCGCTTCTGCGTGAAATAACTCCCAAGAGCGTCGGTCTGACATGGAGAATATAAATAAATTTAGTGTCATATAGGAGTCTCGAGTAGATAACATGTAGTGCAATATTTACAAGATCTTAGAGTGATTCTGACAATCAAGCTTTTAGGCCTCAAACTCGCTTTGCCGATTTTTCTACCAAAGAATCAGCTCTATTGCTGATGCACCTAATTACAAATATTATAGAATATATTCAAAGGGCTCAAAACAATTAAGGAAATATATTTTCTCAAAACATACTGCTCATGTCTAGGTGCTCGCCTTGCTTCGCGCACCACGTTTCACTGATACACCCCACTCTAAAGATATTTTCACAATTTGAGATAAATGCCATTCTGGAGAAGGAATTTTTAGCTGCTCGATGCCACCAGTGAAATGTTTTAGCAAAACACTATTTAATCAAGAATTTAATTTTTCTTTTTCCTTGATCACTAGATTCATTGCTGAATTGAAGAAGTATTCTGTCAGCACACAATGCCAATATCACATATTCTTGCGAAATAGTAACTTTATTAGAAGAATTTCTATTTCATCTTATGACCAGCCATCTTTTAATGTGCCACTTCTAACACACACAATCGATTCGTTAAAATGCATCCGTTTTCGAGAGAACTGATCTTCTGCATTCGATTGCCACATAAAATTTCTTTGCATGTTAAGTATAGTTTAGTGTTGATGGAATATGCTATCAATTCCATCCAGCAAAAGTTCTGTCAAAGGACATTGTGGCACGAAGTAAGCGCTTTTAGAACACGCCTGGTACAAGTTCAACACTGTTGGAGAAATGGGCTCGTGGGGAGCTTGGCCCAGAGTCAAACTTTTGACATGGTGTACTTCAAACGGCGAACATCTCTCGTCTTTACGTTTGCTAGGCTATAGTGAAAAGTACGAAAGTGTAATTAAAAACTATTTGATAACGTGGAGTTCGCAAGAAATTACAGATAGTAGAGATCACGAAAGACGAAAAATCATGCAGGCTCCAAATAAGATGAAAGAATGTATGCAAACGGTCAACAAAATATCATGAATTATGAAAAATTCGATCAATTAGTGGAGAACGCTTTTGCTCAGAAATTATGAAGTCTTAAAACTAATGGTCTCAAAAAGTTTTCTAAGCTACTAAGCATACCCACTGATTATTTCACATTTGAAGGCCTTCTGAGTTTCCAAAAAGGAGCTACGTAGCTCAATCGTCTAAAGTGGTGTACGATAAACACAAGGTCCTTGGTTCGACCTGACACTCCAGTCATCAGGGCTATCCATCTAGGGTTGGTAATTCGGTGCCATACGTGTCTGAGAAAGGAATAACACAGTCGTGATATACCGTTAGAGCACGACAAATTATTGTATAGGCCATTATATCCCTCAATCAATGCCAGTGATGTTAAATAAAGTCAAATGCAATGCGTTCACATTGTGTGCAAAAATTCTAAACACGGCTGGAGTATGAACACATTCTCGACTGTATCGCAAAATGTTAGTAGCCCATTCTTTCTCACGATCTTGAGCTCATGAGTTGCTTTGCAGCTTTTATGAAAAAGAAGAGGATTACTGTCGGTCCTTATTTCACGAAGATTGTACTCAAAGTTCGCGAGAAAGGATCTTTCCCCATCGATGATATTACGATCTAACACTGGTGTTAAGAAGGAAATTTGCTTATCGTGAACTTCTATATCTTAATTTGATATTGTTGAAGAATTGCATGGTTGAGTAGCATTGTGGGGTAAATTAACAAAGCTATATACTTGCGGAAACAAACATTTTTCCTAATCCAAAAATGTTAAGTGATATGCAAAACACTTAAAAGCGGACGGGAGTTGAATCCGAGTTCCACCTATGTGGAGGGCGCGTACTACTACATCACCGAGGCTACCGCTTTGGTACTACTCTTTCTTCGATATGAACTACTGAAGCATTCAACAACTGACATCTACCAGGTTTGGTCTGGTAACCACGGAACATCACTGAATTTTTTGTTTTACTCTTGAGACTTACTCTTATCATGACATTGCTAAAAGCAATAAAAACCAAGAACTTTTGAAAATGTTTGCTGACATCTGTGATCTGCGAATGGTTAATTCGGCTGAATTGTTTTGATCTTTCATAAAAATTTTCTCATTTTGAGAATATGAGAGATTTGTCACATCCAAACCTATCATGAATCTTCTTTCATCCTATAGTTTTCTTTAGCAACCTTTTGTGTGTGGTGAAATGCAAATCGCGATCTTCGAGTACCTCTCAAACTTTAACAGCCTTTCCTGATATACCACCAATTTACGAAAGGAATCCCTCCACAACGCTTTTTTCGTTCACACTATATCCTTTTCCCACTATAGGGTGCTCTGATAGCTTGCAACTGAATGAAACGACTATTTACATAAAAGAGTTACTGATCATATTCACTACAGAACTGTGACAGAAGAATTCCAATTTGTCAATGAAACAACATATATTTGTGTCAATACTGAAGCATATAGTTCAAAGAGGCCATATCCAGCAACAACAAATTCTCAGTACCAGAAGTGAATTGGCAAAAAATGTCAGAAGTAGCAAAAATAAGCGTCTAATTCAGTCTCTTCAGTTGCGTAGGCTTCTGGGTGCTGAATAACAATAAAAATTTTATCCAGCTTAAAGATTCAAGAAGAATAATGATAAGATGAGTAACTAAAACGTGAATCGCTATAAATCTTTCCTGAACGTAATTTCTCGGATTGCGCATAATGTTTTACTCAAGCTCACTTCTCCTGGTGGTCATGTTGATAACAATTGCTGCGCTCAGGGAAAGCATAAGGACAGGTATTATTATAGAAGCGCCTTAGTGTCGTAGATGCAAGGCTGGCGTGCAACCTATGTTTAAACAAACTACCACCAATTTTCTCACCATATCACATCGGGGACAGGACGACTGACTGCTAGAGTTTCGAAGAAATTATGCTGCGGTACTTTAGACATTCGTGAATCTGCATGAGTTTTGACATCTTACCACTACTTTTTTTACTGAATTGTTTTTGCTGAGTGTAGAAATACTTACACTCAAGTGCACAAATTTTTCTATACAAGCAAAACAGACACTCAACGTCATTAAAGCGGCTGTGCAATGCACATGTTTGAAGTAATATTTGACTGGTCTCTTAATACTACGTCCTTCCATAAGTGATGATACTACGGCAATGAACACCAATTTTTTCAGTTGCAAAATTAAGAGCCGAAGAAAACAGTCCGGAGTATCAGTCGCTCTTGGGCCAGAATCTCTGTTGAACTTGCGCGCCGCTTCACTAGCAATTTCCCCTACGCGTCATATGTGCATAAATAGAAAGTGAATTTGTTCTCCACGACAGCTCCATCCCAAAGAAAATATGGGCAAGTTGTACATCAAAATTTTTGCAAGAAAATGCGCAAATGAACGATACCGAAACTATGCAATCCTAATTTCTTCTGGTTTTTAGTGTATATTACTCTAGTGCGAAAACTTATGGGGCGCCCTGATGTTAACGCTTTCACGAAATTGAACATTGGAAAAGAGCGAGTCAGCATCCAAATCGAGCCTTATGAGCGCAATATTCATGCGCACCTAAATCAACATTTAATAAGTAATAAGTGACTAACACTACTTCAGTGAACCGATTTCTTGGGATCTTTGATCTATTGAACGGCTTTATTCTTTTGCTCGAGAAAAATTATGGCTGAAAATGGCAGATTTTGAAGTGTTCGATTTTAGAACAGTAACTTGGCGTCTATAACTAAATTTATAATCAAGAAGTGAAACGTATGAGACACGGATGTAGCGAAATCAGTGCATACAGTCGTGAAAGAAATATTCAAACTTTGTCCATCATTGAACACAAATGAAAAACTTTTACTCTGTCTTGCTGCTTAGAAAGATCATGACCCTTCGGCCAGTTAGTTACAATATGAGACTTTTGTATCGTAGAACTAAGCATAATGCAAACAGCGAACTGTGATAGATAATGAAAATGCATAAGCGACAACAGTGCGATAAACAGCCAGCGGAAATAGCCACTTCATCTAATGAAATGGCTCAATAGAGGCTCCGTCACGTTACGAAATCAATCAGAAAATGTGAAAAATTACTTCAGTCTGACACAAACCACTGGAATGCCCAGGAATTCTTTATAATGGTTCACCTTGGAGTCGTGATAGAAGAGCTTCTGGTTGTACAAGCGCCGATGGCTAAACGGGTAGGCAGTGTAAAAGTACAGAAAATTTGAAAAAAATAATTAAAGATGAATAAGGAGTACTAAGAACGTCAAGTATAAAGAAAAAAACCAGAGAGGTGTGGTTTTTTCTTAATTTGATTTCTCATTTCTATAAACACCTATGACTTGCCTAAACAGTTTGAATTTAAACCTGTTAAAAAACCAGTTCTCATAGATTCATCGTAAGCGAATATAGAACTGCCAGAAACTTGAATGATTAGATTTTGCAATTCGTTTGATTCGAAGTGTTATATCCTCTATTCTCTATC